ACGGAATTTTCTAATTAGTAGTTATAAATCTCTCCCAATCAGTATCTTTGATAAGATTGTTCCAATCTAGTTATTTGTCACACATGCACCATCCAGTTCACGATCGGGCGAATGATTTGCTAACTGTTATATTTAATGCACTCTAACTGGAATCAATTAGAACAGGTGCAAACACATGACTGCAAAATTAAAATAAGATGGTAGGAATGTAGGATTTGATGAATACACATGACTGCTAAGTAATATATTAGCTAGATTGTTCTAGCACACACAACAAACGGTCCTCGATACATACTGCTAACAAGGATCGTTTAGATAAGACACTGATTTGCGAAAGTGTATGTAGCCTAGTTGTTATGAGAGCTTGAGGTCCTGGGTAGGATTTGCGTGTGTATGTTTATAGTGATGAGTGTACGTGCATTGTAAGCATCTGTATTGTACTGTGTAATCTAAAATAATAAGACACTTATATAATTAGAAAATAAAGTAAACCTTGTTCTTGTACCAGACTAACAGATCCATACATGCCTCCCGAACCAGGATCCGACTAGCTAGCGGATTGTGGACACCCCTTGGGCCCTTGTCAATTTACAGGCCTTCCTACGAGTCCAAGGCCATCTTGGCCTTCAACTCGGCGCACAAGCGAGCGGTGAGGCTCTCAGAGTGACGCACAAATCTGTCGAGGACGGGAAAATTGTGGCAAGCGGGATCCGTCCTCTGCTTCTCTTGGTCGGTTTGCTTTGGCCACCATTCAAGGCATCCACGGTAGTAAAAAAGATTTCATCTGTCTGATTTTAATTTCATGGTCCAGATTTACTTCCACCGCTCGTTCCTGTTTGTTCAATGTGTTAGCCTATTGGTGGTTGCTCTAAAAAAAATTGGCTCTCCAGAATTTTCTCCTCGCTTCCACATCCAGTCAGCAACCTCTTCCTCCCTCCCCGAGCCGCCCTTGCCAGCGCCGCCGCCGCCGCTCCGCGTGCCCCAACCCCGGGGACGCTCCCTCCCTCTACTCTTCCTCTCTCTCTCTCTTGGCCGCTCCCCGGCCCGGCGGCGCATCAGGGTTCCCACTCTGCTCCGTTCGGGCCACCCCCCCCCCGCCATGCCCGGCTCCCCACTCTGGGTTCGGGTGGGGGCGGCGATGAGCCCCCGGCAGGTGGTGCGGCGCCACGGCTAGCCCCAACGGTTATGGCCTCCGGTGCCTCCGCTGCAGTCCCCTCTGCTCCGTTCGCTTGTTATCTCCCAGGTGAAGCAAGAACCTCACTCTCCTCTATTAGTCCCATTGCGATCTCCTCTATTTCCCTCTTCTGATTTGTGCTAGACATTGACGGATTCGAGAAGAAAAGGTAGTTGCTTTCCCTTAATCTCTGTCCCTTCTTCTGATCTATGATAGAGATTGATGGATTCAACAAGAAACCTAGGCGGTTTCCTTAAATCTCCATCCCATCTCTCCATTTATTAAACACTGATGCACGTATCAATGGATCCATTCGTTTCCTTGAAATGGGAACACATCTCGGTACATCTACGAATGCATAGCACCTCTGTAAATCCATGCTATGCTCTATTTCTTCCTCTTGGTCTTGGTATGGTAACCTAAAAAAATCCCCTTTATTTCCTTTGGCACCTTATATCTCTCATGATGATCCCTTAATTTCGTTTCCTGTATGTATGGATTTATTTTGCTTGTACATAAGGTTCAAGGTTTCCGTCAGAAAAAATCTAAGCATGTCTCTATGCACTGTGCTGCTGTTGTAATGTTTTCAGTATATATAACCGTGTGCCTATGGTGCTGCTTTATTTATTTTAGTCTAAGCATATGCCATTGCTGATGATGTACTTATTCCAACTTGATCATAAGACGATGACGATACCTGTGAGGTGCTTCCGATAGACCTCACCGTATTTTCATGGCATTGCTATTTTGAATTTTTTTTGTTGACCATATGTCAATGCCAATGAGGTTGGAAACAAATATCTTTTTCTGAAATATACCATTGCCATGTGTTAAACCTGGCCATATTTCCATGCCATTGCTACTTTCCGATTGCATTAACATCAACTATGTTAGACTCATCGAGTATGTTTGGCTTGAACTAATGCTATATGCCTGTATAATATCCCTCCACCTTCATGATTTCCCGAATGAATTAGATATGCATCTTTCATAATACCGCTATTTTCTTTTCCTTGCGAATTTATTCATATTAACCATCAAATTGAATGGCAAATTGTCCGACGTGTGCAAAGCCACGCGTAATGTACTTATCGTGTGTATTACAATGCAAAGTATTTATCGTGTGTATGCTAAGATCTTGAAAAAATATGCGAACATGTTCAGAACCACGATTCTGTTTCCGACTAACCCCCGACGCGCGCGAGGGCGCGCGTGATGGACTAGTATATAATATGTGGGCACTGGCCAGTGTCCAGCCCGTGTCCATGTTAAACTACACCACCGATATTTTAGAACTCGGTGATCACTGATAAACAGCAATATCGAATATATCAGGAATCTATCGGTGATAGAAATATTTTTTTTAAGAATAAATTTAGACAAAAAAAATAGTTCATGTTGTTCAGGAAAACACATAGATTATTTTCAAATCATCGAACTTAAAAAAACCACATAAAACCATATTACGAATTGCCTACTCAATGAGGAGGGCAACAACGCGTCTGGAGTGTGTTACGATGGTAGCAACTTGAACCTGGAAGGAAAGAGGAGAGAAAGTATTGGGTGGGCTTTGTGTCTATTTGAGTGGACATATTTTAAAATTCTGAGAATCTTAAGTGATAGAGTACAAATTTCGGGCCCAGCCGGTAAACGGGATATCTAGGAATTTTTAGAATGTATTTGGCAATATTTTAAACCATGTAGCTATGTGGGCGCCAAAATCACTTGATTGTAATAGTCCCCTTTAATTAATAAAGCGTATATTTCCAAAAAAGGTGGATGACTAAAACAACTAATAATAATTCATAGATGAAAACAACTTATTCATAGATGACATGGACATAAGACAATAGTTGTGGTTAAAAACAAACCGAAACTTCGACGGTGGCTCGAAGACGGGTCACCCCCCTCCCACCTAACCCCCTTCCCCCTCTAGCCCTAGCGCCGCCATTGTCGAAGCTCACGTTCGAAGGTAGGGCGGGCGTGGGACCTTATGGTGATAGCAATGGAGGTGGCAGAGAAGGTGGCGGGTAGCGGCGAGGCGTCGGCGACGTCGTCCCTTTGGGCGGCGGAGGACGGCGTCGCACGTAAGCGTCGATGACCAGTCCTCAGCAAGGAAAAGGCGGATCCAGCAGAGGTGGTTCCGTACGGAGCTGTGTCCTAGGGGCAGCGGCAACCTAGGAGTCCGGGCAGAAGACCTTCTCAACGGCGGCAACAACCCTAGGGCAGTAGCGGCCTGAGCGCCAGTGCAAGGATTTCGGCGAGGAGGCAGATCCCATCGGCAGTAGCCACCCTAGGGGCGGCGGAGGCCTGGGAGTCCGGGAAGAAGAGAATATATATCCTCGACGGCAGCGATAGAGGACTCCGACAGAGACGACGCCCATGACAGCGGTTGCCCTATGGGCGGCATAGGCCTTGGAATCCGGCGAAGCAGATCTTGTTGGCTCATGTCCGATCGGCTAGTTCTAACTTGATGACGACAGATGGAGGTTGGCTAACTGGCGACATGTGGCGTCAGCTCACTTGAAGCAGATGAAGACGGCACTCAGCGGAGGTTCGCAACGATGGCGCACTAGGGTCGACAGCGACTTGACGACTTTCACTCACCGAATCTAGCCGTTTTAGAAGAGGATGTTCAAAAGTAGGGATATGCCATGTTAATTAAAATTCATTATCAGAAAAAAGAAATCGAAACATAGGAGACACGTAAAGCACCATAAACATTAATCCTTAATAATAGTGCAAGGATTGATTTGATTGTTCATGCACACACACTAGCACACATCACGTCCCTAATAGCAAGAGGATCGAGCAATCAATCCTTAACAATCAATCGATCATTAATAGTAGGGATCCATAATAGGGGGATCGACCAATCGAGATCGATTAGATATAAGACAGAATTAACCGAACAAATCAAACCAAGACATGCCTCCCAAGTCCCAATCCCCGAACGAGAGGATGTGTCCAAACTTCAAAGATAGTGGTCACCCCTTATAGACGAGCATACGGCGAGCAGCGAGTAAAGGCGTTGTTGGCCGATGTCTTCTCGGCCTCCAACTCGGCACGCAGGCGAGCAGTCTCCTCCCTTAGACGTGCCAATCCAGCCTTAATCTCAGAGGGAGGTATGAATCTGCCCAAAACAGGGAGATTGCCCCAAGAGGGATCCGTCTTCTGCTTCTCTTGGCAATTCCTCCAGCACCGCTCTGTTAGCTCATCTATCTCCTTTGGTGCCATTTGGATGATGAGTGGGAAAGGGATATGAATATACGATGGGATACGGATGAGTGGGTTACGGTTTGGAAAGTGAGATTCAAAATCCAATCCATCGTTTGGCTATAGCTTTGGTTTGGTCTTGGGTTTAGTAGGGCCCACGACATTTAATAAATGCAGGGTGTGTTTGGCAACTATATGGGAAGAAGTATAGGAATTAATGGTGGAAGTTGATAGAGATAATTAAGGTAGAAAATTGACTTTTAGTCCCAATTACTTGTTTGGTTCGTGAAAGGAAATGAGAAGGAGAATTGAAGAGGGAATTCATATCGCCTGTTTGGTATGTGGGTTTGAGAGGAAAATTAAAAGACAAATCATGATGGACGGTATGGATCTATTTTTCTTTGATTAAAAACATAACTTCCACCCAATTTCCACCCCTCTCTAAAAATTGATTAATGAGAGTTGGCTCTCTAAAGCTCCTCTTTCCCAACGCACCACCAAAACTCCCGTTCTCACAAAACATATAAAAGATTTATAAACTCTTTATCTCTTAACTCCTGTTCCTGCCTCCCATTACCCCCAACCATACGAGCCGGCAAAGAAGCACGTCTTACCAGTTACCACCGACCAGGCCTACCTTATCTCCAAGCCTGTCCACAAGTTCACAACAGAATACGGCGTGCTGTGCCAGGCGAGCGGCTGCATCTTGGCGGCGCGGCACATGCGACCCAAGTGTTGCAGCTCCGGCGGCGTGGCAAGCAGCTATGGCCCGGCAGCGAAGCGCATCCGAGGCGAGCGGCTTCGAGCTAGGCCCATGCGAGGCGAGCTGGCTACTGCTCCGGCGTCGCGGCGCATCCGAGGTGAGCTGTGGCGTGGTGCATCCGAGGCAAGCGGCGGTGGCTCCGGCGGCGCGGCGCATCCGAGGCGAGCAGCGGCTCCGGCGGCCTGAGCAGCGCAGGACGACGTCGACGATGAGCACCGCTGCACAGGTCGCCGTATCCGGCTCACATCCCACCCCTCCCAATGGGATAAGATCAGTGGAAAATGAGGGGCTCATTTCTCTCTCTCTATGCGTCTCTGTTTCCCTATCTTTCCAAACACTGGATATGATTTCCATGTAACCTCGTATCCCTATCCCAGGCCCTATTTCCCGCAGTCCAACCGCCACCTTCATGGTCATCGGTCGCTTAGAGCAAGTTTAGTAAGTACGCCCGCTGCCGGCTGCAAGGAGCGTCAGGTCACTTGAGCTGGGGACCGGTGGCGGCGGGTCCCATCCATCCTTTAATGCTCGGCGTGTTTACAAACGACGTGGGAACCTATGGGAGCCGATGGAGCTAGGGAACAGGCCATTTCGCCCGCTTTTTGCCAGCGTTAAGCTAGTCGCCTACTCGCCTCTCTCTTGCTTTCTTTCTCTCCCACGTCAGATTGTGCTGATGTGTTAGGTCATTTCGTCTACGAGCTGGCCTCATTATACTTGCTCTTACCCATACGGTCGCTTACCCATACGGTCACCCGGCGTCGTGTTTCTAGCACGCGGATCCATCTCCCTCGAGCCTCCAGTCCTCGACGACCCTCGGCATATTCGACGAGAGCGGCGGTGGCGGTTGGCGGACCCCGGACGCCCGGCCCACTGCGGCACCGTGAGTCCGAGACCGGACAGGGTTGGGTTCCGTGGGCTACACCGACTCGAATTCTTATGGATTGCGTAAGCCCACTAAGAGAGAAAAAAAAAGGAAACCGAGCCAATCCTGTTTTCTTGAGATGGGCGCCCCGCCCCACCTTTGGCCCCTAGGCACCGGACGGGAGGCAGGCGGGCGAGGCGAGGCGACTGGTACTTTCGGGGAGGCGAGGAAGGACACGAGGTCGGTGCGTTCGTGCGTGCGTGCCGTACCGCGCGCCGGTGAGATCCCCTCCCCAGCACCGTGACGACGGCGAACTGAAACCCTCACAAAAATCTCACCTCCATCCTCCTCCTGACCTCCTCCCAGATCCCTCTCTCCGAACCCCGGCGCCCGCCGCAGATCTGAGGGTCATCGGCAGCCATGATCTCCTCAAGCAAGCTCAAGTCCGTCGACTTCTACAGGTGCGCTCCCGATCCGTCCTCCCTAGATCTCGAGAGCACCTCCATTCCTCGACCCCTTTCCAGGATAGATTGGGACGGTGCGATTCCGTGGGGATTGGATTGAATGAATATATATTACTAGAACGGAGAGTGGTTTCGTCCGGTTGCGCTGGTCGGATTTCGTTCCGGTGAGTCCTGGATGGCAGCGGCGTGTGCTTTGCGGCGAATGCGCGGTTTGGCGGGGGTACTCTGCGTCAGCGATGGTTTCCTTTGTCTGTTTCTAGCTCGGTACAGACGAGAGAGCCGCACGATGAATTGGTGGATGCTGTGCTCAAAATATTGGTGTGTGAGTGTGACTTCTGTAATTGTAGCGAAGCTTCTGTTTGGTCAACGTGTTACACTCTGGTGGGATATGCCATTCTAAATTCTGAAATAGAAGCTAGTTGGACAGTTTTGGATTAGATAGTAGAGCCAAATGTTCCCGTGGCACTGCTTTGTCTGCTTGCGGAAACTCATCCTTGGTAAGCACTATATTTAGCAAGTCATGTGTCATGACGAAGTTCATCTTCATAAGTCGTGATAGGAGAGGATTGCTCTGTTTGTAGAAGAAGTGTCAGTATTTAACCAGTGAGATGTATGTTTTCCAAGGGTAATGCCTTTAATATGATAAGTTTTCTTCGTACCATTCTGATTCTGTTAAAGCAAACGAGTGTGCTTTTTATTCAGACGTAAAACATCCATGCTATGATGAACTATTGTTTAAGAGCAAGTATAATAAGGGGCTGCAAGCAGGCTGAATGCTGAGGTGGAGGAGAGATGGAAGGAGAGAGAGGAGAAGCGGGCTGTAAGCTTACAGCCGGCTTGGACACAAGAGCTAAGAAACTCTATGAGAGAGACAAGTGGGCCATGTATTAATAGTGAAGATGTAAGTATTATATGGGTGGGCTGAGAAGTAGGCTGCAAGGATTCATACAGCCAGCAGCTGGCTGTATTATTAACCTTGCTCTAAGGTTCTAAACCATTATCATCGCGATTTGAAAGTTGAGTAGCTCACACTGATTAGTTCTTTGATGTATCAATCATGCTATTCAATCAGAAACTTATTGTTATCCATGTCCATATTGTCTTTGGGATACCCATAATTGGAGGTAGCATGAGCCACTTCCCTCTTGGGCAGTCATAAAATTTTGTTCTAGCTGTTCCTTGATTTGGGAGTCTGAGAAATAACACATTGGAGATTAACTTGATTCAGAATGGCTGACTTTTACTGTTCTCTCCTGAGCTTCATTTATAAGTGGTGAGGACCTCAGTAGCACCCCCAGGTCCTGAGTTCGACTCCTCACGGGAGTGAATATCAGGCTAGGGGTAGAAAAAAAATCCCCTTGTCTGTCCCCACAACCAAAGCGCAGGTCTAAGGCCCGGCCCAGTTCTCACAGGGTTATGGTTCCGTTGTGTATGGGTGGGGGCGGAGGTTCGGGGTTTTCTCGGCCTGTGTGAGAAGGTCTTGTTCTTAACAAAATACCCGGGGGCGTCATAATCCCCTGCAGGTCGATTTTTTTTAAGTGGTGAGGATAAACTAATTTGATTCAGAGTGACTAACTTTTTTATTGTCCTATCCTGAGTTTCATTTATAAGTGATGGGTGTATATAGTTCCTTTTTGTCTTTCTAGTAATGAATGTTTACTTTTTTTTTCATCTTGCAGGAAAATCCCTAGGGATTTGACCGAGGCATCACTATCTGGCGCTGGATTATCCATTGTAGCAGCACTAGCTATGGTGTTTTTATTTGGAATGGTCTGTTCTTTGTCCTCCCCCTCAGTTTCTTCTGTAATCAGTTGCAGTTGTTGCTGCCACTTTTTTTTCGCTGTTAATGGTTTTTAGCACCAAAATAAGTAAAAGTCAGCATGATATGATTGCTTTCATGTTCCAATTGGTGGTTTTAAACAAGTGTATGGAAAGGAATGGGAAAAATGATTGAACTTCAGTTCTGTTTATGTAGAATTGTAGATATAAGTGGATTATCATTTGGTTTTCTAAGCATAGCTGACTTCAGTAACCATTTTCCATTCCTCACTTCTTTTAATTGATTCAAATTTGTTATCTGTTTCACGTTCAATTGACTATTGAGGTTAGAACATCAACAAGATGGACTAGATTCTGAAGATAGTTATGATTGGGTGAGCTTCAAGCTAATGTGGTCAAATTGTGGTTTAGTTTTGTCAATCGTGGTGTATTGGAAGTGAAGGTTCAGTTACATTCTGTATCCAAAATATTCCACCTACTGTGGCATACTAAACACAGTTACATTCTGTATCCTAAATATCAGTTGCTCTGCGTCCAATACATTGCGGGTTGCCATTGTATAAATATTGCAATGCGCTTTGCTTGCCAGCAGTTTGAGGTTGACCTGATTTCTCATTCAAGATCTGTGAGCTTTATCCTTTTCATAGGTGAACTTCAAGTTTTGAACTAAGACAATGATGATTTGATATTGCAGGAGTTGAGCAGTTACTTAGCAGTCAATACTACCACATCTGTGATTGTTGATAGGAGTTCAGATGGGGAGTTTTTACGGATAGATTTCAATATAAGGTGAGCCCTATAGCATTCCTCAAGTGTTGTTCAGTTTGGTGTTAAATATAGCAATATGATATGTGCCCATATGGTTGGATATATTACACTGCTACCTGTTTAAACTTTCCATCTGGGTTTACAATTTATGGAAATTGGTGGTTTCCTAACCTATGTCTGCTCTGCTGATACTAATCATTTGATGTCATGATTATAGTAAGCCAATGCAAATGCCTGCTTAAGACAAATAAGTTCATGAGATTCTGAGTCGCACACATCACTGAAGAAAATCATGTAACCTTACTGAATAACTTCTAGGTTTAAGTGATGAGTCTAATCTCTTGTCTTGGATACCATACTGCCTGAGATAGCGTGATGTATTGGAGAATCTAACGCCCAGGGAAACTGCAAATATTAGGGACGACACTTCTTTTTTCGTTTGTACTTTGTAGCATTGTATGGTTTAATTAGTCTTGCTGGTCATTTGAGCTCTGGAATGGTCTTTTTTTGTTCTATCGTTACCATTTCTTTATTTGTTCCTTTCTCCTTGGTTCATGTGGCTCTTTGTTGGTTTCATCTCTAGCATACACCAATTACTTGGGATGAAAGGCTTTGGTGTCGGGTAGGAATTTGGGATGATTTCAGCAACTCTGGACTGCGGAAACTTAATTATTGTTCTCTCAAATATTTACCGACCGCCTTTGTGTTTTGCAGCTTTCCTGCACTTTCATGTGAATTTGCATCAGTTGATGTTAGTGACGTGCTGGGAACAGTAAGATATATCTTTGCTCATATGTTGTGTTTTGGTTATAGCTTCTAGAATATGGCAAAAATCTTAGTTGTTATCCCTCTGTACATCACATTATCTTTTTTTGGTTTAATCTTAATTATCTGTTAAATCCATATGCAGAACAGATTGAACATAACGAAAACTGTTCGAAAGTATTCAATTGATCGGAATTTTGTACCAACTGGATCAGAATTCCACCCTGGGCCTATCCCCACTGTCAATAAGCATGGAGATGATGTTGAAGAGGATCATGTGGATGGTGCATTTTCGTTGTCATCTCACAATTTTGATAGCTTTTCACACCAGTAAGCATTCAGTTATCTACCAACCTACAGTCCTGCTTGATCAAGCATCTTAGTCATTTTGTATTTTAAAATCGTCAATGACCATTGTTTGTATTATTCTACTCATCACCACCTTTCTGGTCCACATTCATCTCGCAGTTTACATTCATTGTATCTCAGTAGCTCCCATTCTTTTGGGGATTGTTTATGGCAAAGCATCCTGTTCTTGCCTGTTAAGATATTTGTCACCGAATGTTTTATGCAGTATTTAACCCCTCTTGTATATTTTTGGGAACTTATAGCACTATATTGCAACGCAACATGAATGCCAAAATACCATCAAAAGTTGTGACATTGCCAAAATAGCAGCACTGCCTCACCTAGCACCCAGGTGTTTTTGCCACCAAAAAGAAAAAAAAAATCGCCTAGGCACACCTAGGCACTAGCACCTGACCACCTGCCTAGCACCTAGC